TAGATATTGTGTTCGTATGTATGTCTTGATTTTTTGGCGATCAGGAGATATGCCTAGGTTTCTGAGATTGTAACTATTTTCACTATTTACATCATTCGGACTGTTGCCTTCATCTTTATTACCATATTCACGAAGTCTCTGGCTTCCCTTAGGTGATATACGTTGGAATTTCGAACCGAACTCTTTATTTAGTCCACGGGGGTAGGTTGTTCTAATTCCACATGCCATGCCTTTTTTGGATATCTCCGTTTCAGCTAATTCCCTTTAGTAACTAACTCTCAAAGTTATTGTTCCCTCTGCTGTGACCAGGTATTGAACTCGCAACTCTTTGACTCATATCGCTTTTTGGATCACTCAACCAACGTTTTTATTTACTGGGCCTTTTATGGACTAAATAAAGGGTTAGATTCTAAATTTCAACGTATATCACCTGAAGAAGGCCGAAACGTTGTGAATATGGCAATAAAGATGAGGACAACAGTCCGAATGATATAAATAGTAATCAGGAGATAGTTTATCAATAGTATGTATGCGATATGCAACACATGGTTCGCTGGGGGCTAAGTATACCCACCGGTGAGGAATCGAGAAACGTATTGTCCCTATGGTATTCTGCGAGTGAAGGAACAAAGGGTGTGTCCTTCCTTTTATTAAGCTTCATACGACGCGAACTTTAGAAGTCTCCAAGGTGGGGTAATCTCACAAAAGCATTTGCTAGGTTTTGCTCTTGACCCTTAATTGGTAATACTTGTACTTAAATGGTGAAGTCTTTCTTAAACTGAAGCTTAGATTAATAGATCCGTAATGATCGACTTCAGAAGTATAGCGTCTGAAGGAAGAGCCTTCTCGGTCTACATGACTGAGGCTGGTAATGTTTGGAGAGGGAAAGAAACAATGCATAATTCCTAAGACATTTTAAAACGGAATTCAATATAAATATAATTTCAAATTTATTACACCTCGATTCTGAAGACTCAGTACTTCGAGAGAATTATACTGCCAAGTAAATAGATGAATCGATGATGGTCCAAGCGTGCATCACTTATGGCACCTAAGGAAGGTGTTTATACTTTCATACCATGTTTATGCAGAAAAAGTTGATATTTAATCTAAAATTCTACATACACAAGTATCTTACAGATGTCAATATTGTGTGTGTATTTAGATATACACAGTATGGGATGCAGAATTAATTTCAACTCGGAACTGATTTCTGGGAGCGACCGCTGAACCCTTTTGGGTCCGCCGCCTGTCAACTTCAAATTCAAGTACCAGAACGGGAGTATTTAAAAAAAAAACACCTAAGCAGCTTACTGTTCTTGCTACAAAGTACATTGCATTTTTATTAGATCAGATTTAAATGAATAAAAGTAAATAAAAAAAAAGTACCACTTTATTTATCTGCAACAAGAAAAGAATGCAAGTTGCAAAAAAGATGAATTCTAAATTATCTTACCTATTAAGGATTTTTTTAAGGCTAAATTAAAAAATTAACACCAATTTTTTTAGGAATTCACGGAAATTGATAACTTTGATTTTAAACCGAGTTGAAATTATTTCTGTCACTCCACAGTATCAAACTTAATAGTTCTGTGCATTTCTATATTTATTTGTGAATTGGATGGCCAAGTGGTTATAACGTCCGGGTTCAATTTGTCAAGTAGGTAACTTGGAAATATCGACAAGTACAAACTAAGCCAGCGAAAAGTGCTTGAAAGTCAAACCACGGCTCAACCCCATCGTTGTTGTAAATTGAGTAAACGAAACTGTTCAGAATCAGTCGATTGATGTTCTAGCATACTGGCTTTGTTTAAATGATCAGACCAGATTTTTCTTTACATTTTTATATATAGCTGGCCACTCGTATTCGAGGATACCTTCAATCTGCTCTATGGTTTATACTGTAACTGTACTGAAACTTAGTCACAATTTCTAGGAATGAGCGTGTTACCTAGCGTGATCAACAATGTGAACCAAGTCACACACACACACACTATATATATATATATATATATATATATATATATATATATATATATATATATATAATCAAGTATGTTGTGCAGTTCAATCTACATTACATGAATCATTCATATAAAAAACAGATATAGAAGTTAATGATTTAGATGGCGAGAATAAATCTTCACAAACAAATTTAATAAAGTACATTAACCCCGAACCTGTATATGAATGTTATGATCCCTGTTTATAAATTCCAGTTGCATAAGGTCTTTTTTTAGTTTTTTACAAGCTTTCGTCTGTTCCTACAGATATCTTCAGGTATGGAAATAGATTTGTTTTTGTTTTTTACTTCTCGGTAATAACAGGACAACGAAAATATAGATGTAATCCGAAAAAATGTTTTTAGAAATGTGTTATTGTTAATTGTAAGAAATTTTGGGGGAGCGTGCGGTCGCAACGCTGAGGTTGAATTTTTAAAATTAAAAATTTAAAACAATCTTAAAATTTAAAAATTCAACCTCAGCTTGTAAAAAAAAAAAAAAAAAAAAAAAACCTTATGCAACTGGAATTTTTAAACATTTATGAATGATTCATAATATATATATATATATATATATATATATATATATATATATATATATATATATATATATATATCTCCTCAGCATAGTTTCAGTATAAATCACAGGCGGGCTCTATGGGCATTGAAGAAACACAAATATATCTGCAGCAGTGATTAACCACCTTAGCAGACAAATATAAAAAATAAATAGCCCTCCATCACCACCCAATACATACACACACAAAGGAGAGAAATAAATAAACGTTCAAATAACTTATTTGCAGACTTGAAATTACGCAGAGACACCCTGCTCGCCAGGATAGGATAACATTTGATTTCCGAAACTTCAAGTTGACAGATAAGTCAACTTTTATTTATGTATTAATAATTGTTGGTTTTTTCTTTTCTTTTCTTTTTAATATTAAACACTTTATTTACAAAAATACAGCTCACCTCAAACGCGTGGGCCTCCAGTAATTTGCCTGTTAACGACCTTTGACATTTTATTTGTATATGGGTTATATATAAAATCAAGAACACTTTAAAGAGAAGAAAAAAGTTTGACAAAGTGTGAAGAACTTTCGTGTACAACTTTCCACCATTTTTTGGCCGATCTTCTATTATCACAAAATGAAATATTTAATAACAAAAGTGATGGAAACATAAACAAAAAAAATCTAAATGAAACCAGCTAGATTATATATCCAAAACACATATTAAAAAAAATTATTTTTAAATTTCAAAATCTCATCGTCTCTTTCGTTCGTGCGCATGCGTAGTCGCATTATCGCAAACATGAACTTAGTCCGATGAAGCCCTAAAGGATGAAACGCGTATCTTTCGTTATGCCGGACAAGGAAAATTTTATTATTTTTTTTGTTTCCTTTTTTCCAGCGATCTTACATTTTTACGTTTCGTGGGGGTGAGGGAGTACAAAAACTGTCCATAACATCCATGTTCACAAGCGCTTTCGGCCACTTAGCCATTTTCAATCTAAATAAAACTTAATAAAATTTCCCTTGCCTGTCATATTTAACGAAATATATATATAATTGTGCGTGTGACGTTAGATAAGACACATGTTTGTTGTTTTATTTTGTAATGACTGAAAAATTGCCCTGCACTCAGTTTTCTGCTGGCCCATATTCAAAACATGCACAAAGTTCCACTCACATTTGATAACGATACAGTAAACTTTTTTTTTTCCTGAGTATGCTGCACTGAAATGGAGTTGCATCTTATATCTATTCATCGCTTATGCCACTATATATATATATATATATATATATATAATATTCTGCATTTACGGAAGAAAGATGGGATGGAGCGTATGTAGGCTTAAATGTAGTAGATATAGAAATCAACACGGCAACCGATAGTTAGAGGATCGCTTAAGTTGAAGCTGCCAGTCACCGTGCATTATTGATTTCTATGTCCACACTGCTATATAAAATCGAGTTCAGTCGATTTATCATGAATACGTTTAAATCTACAATTTTTTTTGTTACTTGTTCACTTTAATTAGTATGGTGGAATCGATATCTATTCCAGTACGTTAATTAACGTACTGGAATAGATATCGATTTGTGTATGTCTGTTGTTTGAGTGCGCCTTTGCTGTATTTTGTATTACAAGTTCGTATAGTTATACATTTGCATGAATCTTTAATAAAGTATATTTTATATAAGAATAAATCTTTTGTGTGTCTGACATTTACAATTTTGGTGTTTTAAAGAAGTGTTTCGATAAATTATGAATTTAATTTGGATTTATTTCTTTTTAAAAGAAACCTATTCTCATTCATTTTCGTTTTTTTGTTTGTTTCTTTTTTGTTTTGTTTTTTTTTTCGTTTTTTAACATATTGAATAACTATATGCATTTTAAAGAAAACCGTGTATTTTTTATTTCATTGCCATATTAACTACATTACTACCGTTTTGATCAGTTCAAAGCTCGATTTTTTGTTGCATAGCAGTGGCCATGTTCCGTATATTTCAGGTTTCAAAACGCTTAAAACTTTAGTTTAAAATACAACGCTATTTTTCCCTGAAGGTTAATATTTATTTCTTTTTTGATAATTTAATGTTTCAGCTTTTCTTTGCTCAGTTTTCCAGCGTTACCCTTTCATTTCTTTATATCTGAAATGCTAAGGGAAAACATTATTAACTCCAAATTACATTATTCGTTTGTATTTAAAAATCCTGTCCATAAAATGGTTAATTCAATTTCTCTTCTTTCTCACAGTTTCTGAGGTTTGAATTTCATTTCATCACTACTTTTTTTTCCAATTAAGAGGTCATATGTTTGTCTTCCAAAAAAAATTTCAAACAATTGCACAGATGATAGATTGTATTATTCGTTGACAATCTCAAAGGTTTGTCGAGTCTTTTATTTCATAAATTTTCTTTAGATTTACCGATAGGATTTTTAAGCCCGGCAACTTTTTTTCTACTTCCTGCTGCCCGATCCTGTATTGTCAGGAAGCAGACCCAGTAAAAGAACCAAGTTCTTCACTTTTGGGCTGACCATTCCGGGTTTTCCTACACGGGAGAATATTCAGACGGAATCGTTCGTTGATGAAGACGTAAACAAACGGATTAACGCAAGCGTTTCCGAATGCAAAATAGGCGCACGTCATTAACATCCAGGAATGCATTTTGAAGTACTCGTAAGAGCCGTCGTACTGGACACCGATAAAAGCGATGAAGATGGGCAGCCACATGAGAAAGAAAAGAAGTACAAGGAGCACAAGGATTCTAATCACGCGGTAACTACGGGCACTGCGCCTTTTGGTTCCAGATGACGTGCATTTTATTAGATCCTCGACATTCTGGCTTGCTCTGCTCTCTTTGCGGTGAATCGTCTTCTTCGATTTCCAAAACGTACGGAAGACGCGGTAATAGTTATGGCTCAGGATGCTCAGAGGCACCACGAAGCCTATCAAAAAAAGACAAGAAACAAATATAACTGATACATGCACTGTGGTGCTTTGCGGCCAGACCAACGTGCAGATCTTTATAGTCGAGTTGTCCACGGAGAAAGATTTGACATTGAAAAACGCTGCCATGGGAATAGAGCTCGTGAAGGCAAACAGCCAAATAACGATGACGATTGCAATCGCCATTTTCAGTGATATCCGACAGTTGTTCGGCTTTACAATGCAAATGAAACGGTCAATGCTGATAACGGTCATCGTCCAAATGACAGCAAACATACAAACAAATTCCAGATAGACGAGAGTGTGACAGAAGAATGCACCCAGAACCCATGTCCCGGTGATGCGTACAACAGCTATGACAGGACAACCAGTTGTGAAGAGTAGATCGGCCATTGCCAGATTTGCAATGAAACAGTTGGTGACTGTCTTCAACTGATGAACGCGCACGACACGTACAATAATAATCAAATTGGCAACAAGAGAAACGATGAAGATGGCATTGAAGATAATGGCCTCTATGATCCCGATCCCCTTCCAAGGCCGATTGAACTCGGAAAAAAAAGTAAAATAGCTCCGATTACCCCAACCATACAATTCATCCACTCCAAAAAAATATGAAGTATTAATTGAAATTGACATTTTTTTCTGTTATCTTTTATCAAGCCTGAAGCAATCTGACTGGATTCTATATTCGATAATTGTGTATTGGATCAATCGATAAAACACGGTTGATATTTGAAAGAAATATCGGTACTGCATTCAAGGCAGAATCAACAACCATTATCTGAGATGCTGCTGCTGTATATGAAATTGGAAGTTGGGTGGAAGAAACGCATTATACATGCTTTAAGTGTTCGGTTTCAAAGGATCAGTACCTCATTGTCTCTTTGATGTGACTTTTTTCATAAATATATATAAAGTCGGTAACTTTATCAAAACGTTGAAGACTTTGTTATCCAAGAAGGAAGGTTCCGAAAATGTAAAGAATGTCGCTCAAATGATGAGAAATACTGGATCTGGAATTCAAATCTGAAAGTAAAAATAATAAAGATATTAGTGTGGCAATCTCGATTTATTGTGCAAGAAAAGCAGAGAGTAAATTTGAAGGAAGAAAGAAAGAAAAGTTGAAAAGGGTGGAAAGAAAGAAACTGTAATTGAAAAGAAGAGGGAGATAGAAAGGAAGCGTAATTGAAAGGAGGAGGGAGAGAGAAAAGAACTGAAAAGGAAGGAAGGAAAAAGGAAGGCAGAAAAGTCTGAAAGTGTTAAATTATTACTGACGCTGTTACTAATTCCAAAATGTAGATTTTTTTAAATATGTTTCACTTCCAATATAATCATTGCGGCTGGCAGAGGATAGCAAAAAAATTGTTTATAGTTTCTGAAATTGTCATCAATGGTCAACTGAACTTGCTTTGTTTCAATAAATATTGCAGTTTTAAAAAATCATTGCTTTCATATATTAATTCTTATATTATGATTTGCCACACACAGAAACAATCAAGCAATTTTGCAGGAATTTTCCTTTCATGACTTTGAATAATCAGGCGCTGCATTAGCGAGCTTTAAAATATTCAGCTATTAGACACCTCTCAAGTTATACTATTATTACAAAGGTTAGTCAAAATGTAATATCTTTTCTTTAATTATGTTATTAATAATGCCATTATTTCTTAATCGTGTGTGATTTGCTTCTTAACTAATAATCATCATTGTTTTGTCTTACGATATACCAACCTCAATGTGTTATTTAATGCCGATAAAATTCTTTATTGCTGGTAACTTTTTTTTTCAAAAATGTATTGCTGGCAATATTTTTCTTTTTCAAAAATGTACTGCTGGTAATGAGGAGGCACGGTGGAGTAATGGATAGCGGCTCTGACTGAGGAATCGGAGAGGCGAGTTCGAATTCCATTCACTTACGTTTTAATACCCTTGAGAAAGGTATTAATCCTCTTCTTCCCCCAGATAGCAGAAAAGACCGGGTTCTATACCTTTGGATGGCAACTGGTCTACCGCAGAAAGTAATGGCAACCTACTGCCGGAAAAAAGCTGCCTCGTCAGTCATGTATTTAAAGATACATGATCGCCTAAGCGTGTATCACGTATGGCACATAACTGATTGCTGGTATTATTTTTCCAAAAAAGTATTGCTGGTATTAAAACCTATTTTTATACTTTCATAGTGTTTTGACCCCTTTTGGTAGAGGTTAACTATTTGCCCTGGGTCAGGGTGGACCTGGAAACACCAGCAATTAAGAGGGGGTTCCATACTCCTCAAAACCTCCTGATCAAAGGCTTTGCTGTTGGATGTTGTTTATCATAATACCCAGGATGCGAATGTAGTTTATCGTCATACCCAGGACGAATCATCATTAGAGAAAAGCTGTATTCTGAGATTTTCTTCATGAGCCCAAACTGTTGAAAAGCCTGAGAGTTCCAGGTCAAGAACTAACTTTCTGCAAGGCCTTTACTATTGCACTAAACTATCATGGCTCCCGCTAAAGGCTTTCATAGAATGCTGTAATGCAAGGCAGGTACAAGGGTCTCCCCCCGCAGCGAAACTATGATATGGCGTCCCCCACTCTAATACATCTCAATTTTCATAATAGTGTATTCATACAATACAATGTTTTTCGGCAATTTTGACATCAAATTGAGATTTTTCTAGCTAAAAATATAAATAACACATTCAACATTATGAATAAAAAAAAAATGAATTTCATATAGTGCTTTTTTTTTGTTTTTGTTTTTCGAAACGTAGTATGAGCAAAAAAAACTTCGCGAATTTGGATGAAAAACAAAAAAAGGCCCCAGAATGAGATCAAAATTCGCAAAAAATTTTCATCCTTTAATAGTCAGTTGTGCTTAGTTTAAATTTAACTTATATATATATTCAGGTAGAAAAAAAACAATTGCTGATAAGATAGCGAGGGTCACAAAGCACTGTTCGAGCCTTCAATCAGGTTTGGGCCCCCGCCGGTCGAGGTGTTCGTGGGTAGTACGCGAGGGCCCTGCAGTAGTGGGAACTTTACCTTGTTTGACCTTATCCTCATTCACAACAGCAGCTGGCCTGCCACTGTAGAACCTGTCATTAAGGTTTCTACTTTCTGTTTAACATTGTCATTAGCTGTATTGACCTGTCTCCTTACTGTGCCAACGTTAAGTGCAGCTTTTTCGTAAACATTCGCTAACTTTGCATCACTTTTTGCTACCCGTTCTATTAAAATGGATTCGGCCATTGTTTGATAACATTCACAAATTTCTTACCATTGAGTGATTAATGAGAAAATCCATTCTAAGATACCTACTCGGTGCAACTGTATGCGAACCAGTTGCATTGTTCACCTATATTGCATACTATCTTAAAAGCCGCAATATTAGGTGCCATTTAAGCTAGCTACTGTGGAGGGCTCTTCATTAGGCCTTCATCATAATAGGTAGAGAGGAGTAGATGCGATAGGCACCAATAAACTACAGAACTCAAAATTGATCGCTGTATTTAAGTATTGCATTATTATTACCTTTTAAAAATTCAACGATAATTCTTCTGTCGCCACTTAAAGACAATTTGATGTACGTAGGTCCTTACCTTCCGTACAAACAATTATTTTTGTTTCATGGGTGATTTTCGCTGGATTTTGCAATTAATTCCGATTGTTTCCAAATGTATTTCCAAGTTATAAAAACTGTTATTGTACATAAATTGTCACAAAAAATCACGTGCAAAAATCGCCGAAAACAATCGCAGTAATGAAAACTGATATGTTGGGCTAAAGTAAAGTTGAAAAAGTGTAATACACTGACATTCGCATTTATTATACAAAAAGAAGATGGGCTATTGAAAGTTAGAGAGTTGTGTCCCTTTAACTGAAAAAATGTGACACAATGACATTCGTATTATATCCATTATTGTACATAATAGGATACAATAAAATTTATATTTTACATGAATACTATATTATGAAAACTGAGATATAGTAGAATGGAAAGGAGCTCCGTATCATAGGCTCAGAGGAGGACTATACCCTTGCATTAGCACTGCCATAATATAAATATTATTTGTTTTTCTTTTTATATGAAAAAAAATATATAATCTTACAGATATACGAATATATCCGTGATTTTTTTTTTTCCAATGATAAATATTTATTAAATAATATCTGCTTATGAATATAGCGAACCTAATATGTACAGAATTAAATTTCAGTAATGGTGTACAGAATTCAAATTTAGACCGAGTATGTTGCATTCACTTTCGCGCAAATAAATTTGCCGACCAGCTAGTATTAAATATCAAAGCAGATTGGGTTTTCTTATCTTGCTTGCGAACCAATCCCAGAGAATGACAACTTTGAATTAAAAAAATGATTGGGCTGGATGTGAAGCTGGCACTTCCATCCAGAAAAAAAATACTCTTAGATGTGTAATAAACAATGGGTCGTATTTTTTTGGGGGGGGGGGGTAACTTGATACCTTCACAGATTCGCGATACCTAAGGTTTAAATTGATTTTTTTTTTTAAAAAAGAAAAATATTTCTTGAAGCTTTTTAGTTTTTTGATTTCAAGTTAATAGAATAAATTTAATATTTCCACTAAAATCACCCGAGGTGGAACAAATACATTGAATCAATAGCTACATCTACCGCAAGGAAAGTTGGTTCTGTGTGTCGCGCCAGAAGGTTTTTCTCGTCTGAGTTCATCCTCCAAATCTACCATTCGTTCTTGCATTGCTGCTCTTCATCTCGAGGTTCTCAACAAAATCCAAAGACTGATATGCAATGTGATATATCATGACCTAGCATCTCGATTCCAGTCACTTTCTCACAGACGTGATGTGGCTTCCCTCTGTCATTTCTATAAATAATTTCATGGCAACTGCTCTGACGAGCTATGTTCACGGGTGCCCCAACTGCATGAATTTAAACGTGCTACTAAGTTGGTATCTCGGTATCACACTTTCACTGTCGAAACGGTTAAATGAAACCGCCTCTTCTACTCCAACAGCTTCTTCTCTCGCACTTCCCGACATTAAAACTCCCTTCCTCTTACTTCCTTCCCTGATAACTATAATCTTCAAAAATGTAAATGTAATGTCAATCAACATCTTCTGATGCTTTGATCTTGATCCCGTCCTTCTCTTTATCCTTCCTCAAACACACCTCTTTTCTCTTACTTTCACTCTCTGTAACCCCTTGCGTGCTAGTGATACTCCTACCTTACTTGGGTTGAAATGCTTAAAAAAAAAAAAAAAAAAAAATACTTTGCTCTATTTCAAAACTAATTTACATTGACTGGAAGGATTTTTTTTTAAATCTGATTTTAGCACCATTTTTTTATTAAAAATCTTCCAAAAATAAAATACTGTTCTAAAATTTTATTTGAGGAATATTAGT